AGGCCTACGGTAACTGTACTTACATATATATATAATCCAAACGATCCAACAAAAATTTATCATATTCATTCATGAATCAATATCATGAGTGAGTCATTGTACTCATATATCTTGGCATAATTCTTTTTTCACTATAGATTGCGGTGTATATTCGTCTTTCTATAGTTGCATATGTCCATTGTCAAAGAACTTGCCCGTGAAAATGTGAATATAGCTTTATACAGCTTGGGTAGACTAGATGGATTCTAAAATTAATGGAAGTGGTGGTCCGTTTCTATTTTGATTACCAATGGTTTCTAGTAATAGCACATATACCAATTGTTTATATATATTAAACGACTTGATAGCACATTTTATCATTTGATTAAAGATATTATCTTTTTATTCCTTAACTGTGATTCAAATAGGTGAACGAGTCATTGATTTTATTTTTTTTGCGAAAGAGTCCCTTGACGGCATGGTGCGCATCTAACATCGGGTCCTTTCGTTAGATGGCCGTAATATTGCTTATAATGTGGTATTAAATGGCATATGAAGCTATGCTTCGCATGACCCATCCTTTTCTTTTTGACAGATATGAAAGAGAAAGAAAGGAAAGAGAATGTTGTCGATCCTCATTGGACATTGAAGAGGGACAATTGGCCATAGATCCAAGCAAAGCCGACCTTGCCAAGTTCAGGTTCTGGGTGGTGCCACTGGGAGGGGCTCACAAGCCCTCGCCAAAGACGAATGAGTTCTGTTGGACCTTGCTGTTAAGAAGGACGCCTCCATCCTCCTCCTCCTACATTCTATTTTTTTTTTCTTCATATTGATGATATGGCTTGCTCCATGACATGGTATTATATTTAAAGCAATAACGATGTCATATTGGTTCAATCATTGAAATTACCAATAGAAAAATTCGATTGCATGTTCAACAAGAGTAAGAAGACTCAATGGCACAATTAAAAAAATTAGAGGACTTGACAATTGACATAATGTGATTAGTGTATTAAAAACTACCTTTTTAATTGCAATCACAAGAAAGTTGGGGATGAAGTAATTGAGTGCACTAAAACAATCAAGTTAGGGATGGTGTAATTGAGTGTAATCAATAAAATTAGAGGATTTATATAATTTGACTCGTTTACTAAAACCGATCCTTTTAATCCCAATCAAGAAAGTTAGGGATGATGTAATTGAGTGTAATCGAGAAAATTAGAGGATTTATATAATTTGACTAGTTTACTTAAGCCTATCCTTTTAATCCCAATCAAGAAACGCTGGGCCTTTGTCAAGGCAAAAGTTCCTTAAAGTAACCAATTTCCACCGAGCATGGGCTTTAGCAGTCCTCTAGAAAAAGGGAATTTCTCAATTAAGGGTCCATGTTCAATGCGACTGGCGGATCACCTAACATTCATCCTTATGTCCACAGATTCATCAATCATCAACACTCCTCCTCGCGCAGTCCGAACTTTGGCCAAAATTTAAAGCGTGAAAATATGCAATTGAACTCATGACTTCCTAATCTAATATCATGTAAGATTTCATGAGACCTTTATTAAATTTTCTAAAAGTTTAAATTGTTAGATTAATGTGTAATTTATTATTTAAATATTTAAACAATTAGGATTTCGAGATTTGCATTATCACGCAATAGCAAAATGTTAATTGATAGGTTCACTACCAAATCAAGCAAAGGACCATAATCTAATACTCCATTACTGTCTTTCTCCCGTAAAATCAAAGTTTAAGGGCGATGCCAACATTACTCGGATACCATCTATTGATAATGTCGATTTGATGTGAGTCCCACGAAATTCAACGACTAAGGTATTGGATTCATATGGATCCAATTCATGTTAAAGTTTCTTGTGTTTTGGGGAAAATCGTTTGGAACACGAAGCCCCAGTTATTGTCAAGAGCTCTCAAATCGAGAAGTCAAAAGCCTAGAGAGAGAGGGGAAACGCTCGATTGCTAATTAAACATCACGGTTCTCAGGACTCTTTCGCAAAAACATAAATCATGTAGCATATCAATATCATAACTAACATCACACATCACCAATTGTTGTAATATTTCTACAACAAGGTGACAGAGAGGAGGATATTTAAGTGGATGCGTGGTAACTGCAACCCTACGGACACATGGAATGTTTCTAGAAAAGTAGATTATACGTAAGGAGTGCAGAAAATTTCACAGGCATCTTATCTATGCTTATTTTGAGGATTATAAGTGGCCACGTCGTCAAATCGACGATATATAATTACTCTTCTTCTCACATCATTCCGCTTTTAAACGAGTCCACCAACTTGGCCATGGCTGCTCGCGATGACCCTCCCTCGCTCAACGCCTCCCTCGCCGCATTCCTCATCTCCGCCACTCGCTCCCTCACCTGACTCCCTTTCTCCGAGCACATCAACGCGGTGATTCGCCCTGCCAACTCGTCCGTCGTCACGAACCCGCCTGCCGTCTCGGCCACCGACAGTACCAGCTTCATCTCCCCGGCTAGGTACGCCCGGATCAGCCTGTGCTCGGCGTAGAGCGGCCAGACTATCATGGGCACTCCGGTGCACACCGCCTCCATCACCGAGTTCCACCCGCAGTGGCTCACGAACCCGCCTACCGAGTCGTGGCTCAGCACTGCCACCTGCGGGGCCCATGACTTCAGGACCAGCCCTCTGTCCTTGGTTCTCTCCGTGAACCCACGCGGAAGGATCGCATCCATGCCTGAAGAGAGAAAGGAAATTGTTGGGTGTACTAAGAAATCTTAACAAAACCCGTGATTGAGAGCTCATGAACTGAATTATATGACTTCTGACCGTGATTCGGAGTCCCCCGTATTATTCTTGTACCACTTGATGTTAGACAAGAGACGGCAACATACCTGGATCATCCTCAGGTTTGATAGCTAAGTTGCGCCAGACTTCATCGTCCGGTGGTGGGTTACGCACTACCCACAAGAACCTGACCCCACTCCTCTCCAGCGCGTGAGCGATATCTCTCAGCTGCTTCGACGAGAACACCCCCATGCTGCCGAAGGTCATAAACAAGACACTTCGGCTAGGCTGCGAGTCGAGCCAGCTCAGGCAATCCTGCCCACTGATGTGATCGTTGGCCGCCACGAGTGGCCCAATGCAGTACACCGGCGGAGTTTGGCCGTCCGGCACGCACAGTCCTTCCGATATCACTTTGACGGCCCTCGGCTCGAGCGCCTCGAACGTGTTGCTTATGAGCCCAGCGGATCCCGCCAGCCGCATGGACGTTTCCAAGAAGTGGCCGTAGATTCTGCTGCTGCGGTCCAGCATTCTCGACGGCATGTGCTTCGCCGGAATGGACGGTACGCCCGGGATGTCGACGTTGCCGTCCAGGTCTTTGAAGCTGGTGTCGGTGAGCTTGTGCAGGGTGGGGAGGTAGAGAAACGCCGCGAGAGGGTTCATGCCGGAAGGGAAGTAATAGTACGCAGGGAGGCGTAAGGCGGCAGCAACCTCGGCGCCGGAACCGTAGAAGAAGTCGACGACGAGGGCTTTGGGCTTCTGTGACGGCTTGGAGGCGGAGAGCAGCTCAGACAAGGCTTGGTGGAGGTTGGGGTTGTTGAGGCGGGCGTGCTCAAAGTACATGGCCGGGTCGTCAGAGAAGGCGGTGGGGGCGGGGGAGAGAGAGGGGGGCAGTGAGACGGAGGGGAGGTGGCGGAAGGCGATGGAAGGGGTGGTGGAGGAGACGGAGGAGATGTAAGGGGTGATGGACGGGAGGAGGTGGGGAGGGGAGGAGATGAGGACGGTGACGGAGAGGCAAGAGTGGTGGCGGAGGAGGGACAGGGCGAGCTCCACCAGGGACATGAGGTGGCCTCTTCCCGGTGATGGGTACATCACTATGTGACATTTGTCTGCTTCCTCCATCATGGGTTTGATGCTTCTGTGTATCGTTGTTGCACATGGACTCGTGTGGTGGTTCCGCAGTTGCTTTATGGCGACACGGATGAGAGCAACGGAGTGACTACTGAGAATTACGGTTGCACATGGACTCGTGTGGTGGTTCCGCAGTTGCTTTATGGCGACACGGATGAGAGCAACGGAGTGACTACTCAGAATTACGGTCCCTAAATTACCGCATAATTGAATTACAATTTCACTGTCACCGCGAGCTTGAGCTCAAGTGACCCCATGGCCGCAAGATGTCAAAGCTCAAGTGGATGGCTGTAAGCTCGAGATATGGCAACCATGGGCGCAACATCGTGCTCAAGCGGCCTAGCTGGGTAGACAACGATTATGGACATTTGATTTATGAAAAACTCATTCGATCAACTATGTCGAATTGATAAAGTGTGAGGGAACCGGGTTCATCAAATGTGTTCATACACGAGGCTCATTTGTTTGGCTCTTATAGAAGAACCACGATAGAGCATGACTCAATTAACCAAATGATAAGTTCTCATGCACTTTTCATCACATCACTAAAAAGAACAAAAGACGGTCTACTTGACACAATTTTCATCACAGCTAGACCAACACCTTGGTCTTTCCCTGGGTCAGTATCTAAGGAATATGCGAAAGAGTGGGAAAAGGGAAAGGGGGCCTTTTCCCTGGATCAACCACTTTTCTGTCTCATGGAAAGATAGATCAACCAACTGTCAGAGCTGCTTATCCACATTTTTCTGTTTCATGGAAAGACAGATCAACTAACGTTCAGAGCTGCTGAAGAAAAGGAAGAAGACGAAGCACCCAGCGTCACAAGATGCTAACGTTCAGAGCTGCTGAAGAAAAGGAAGAAGACGAAGCACCCAGCGTCACAAGATAGAGCTTCAGAAATCAGAATAAACACTGTTCATCAGGGTATGGTTCGTGAAGAAGCGTAGCGATTGTGGAGGTGACTATCAATATAACATAGACTTTGCTCAAAAGTCAGAACGGCGTTTACTTTCAGATCATCTTGAGGTGCATCTGCTAGTCCAACATGATGACCTCGTCAATAAGAGATGTTTTCATATATTCCACAAAATTACATCTAATAATACACCTTCCACACAAATAAAACCATGAACTGTCATTGGATTCGCAAAAATTAGAAAGAACAAGAAAATTACATATATCACCAACTTCATTAAATTTCTGCAAAAATTTTCTGTAGATCTTTTAAGAACTTGGACACCATCACAATGTGCGGCAGCATTGTTATGTCAGTCAGTGCGCGCAAACAACAGCAGACACAAAAGGGTAAAGAGCAAGACCAGAAGCCAGAGCTCTATTGCTTCTCAATTTGAAATTCACAACCAGCAACTTCATAAATAATAGTACATGGATTACCAACAACTAGGGTATTTCTATGGGAAGGTATTTCTACAGGATTCAGACGCAATCCATAAGGCACGATTCATGAAACTAGGACAGAAGGAACGAAAATGTAGACAGGCAAGACCTCTCTCGCAGAGTTAGAAAGGATCACGAGCCTAATACTCCCATTTCTTCACCTCCATACCTTCAGGAGGACTTCCCTCTACCTTCTTCGATCCCACTTCTTTCCAGTTTGTGGACAGGACTGTTCCATTTGACTCCACCTGTTCAATGCATCATTACAAGTATGAGTAAAATCTAGTTAATGCAATTGTATTCAAGGCAGTACCAAACCTTTGCTGAAAGCCTACCCAGTGAGGAAAAGATGCACTATCAAACATGAAGAAAAGATAACCTTTGCATGCCCATCATGAAAGAACCCAATGTAACACACAAAATCATGTCATGCATAAGCTACAGCTATGGAAGATAATCCAAGAGCCTTCAGCCTTACAAATGATTTTCTCATTGCTCTCCTTGTGTCTTCATCGGCATCCTTGTAGATATCTTGGAAAAATCTGTTCAAAGCTGCATCCCCATCCAACTTTTCTTCTTTCTCCTGAAATGCAACAAAATGACACCTCAGGTCGAAATCCAATTCTCCACAACATACGGTTGTAAAACAAACTCTACACCCTAGCTTGAGAAAGAGAAACGAGAGATCAGGTTGACAAAAAACCTCCTTCTTTACTTGAGCTTCGAGCTTATCCCAGTCTACCCTTTTTGGTTTTGATGATGGATACGAGGGCCTCTGAGATCCAGTGCCTGTGAGTTTCATTGGGTATGCTCATCAATAGTTAAATCCCCCAGATTATTCAACAGTATAAGAAGAGGTAATCTTTCTTCCGGACAGCCATGCTGAAACATGGTGGATAAATCATGTACAACCCATCAATGGTCCAATGACCAAAAGCAGACTGTTAGTGCATTCAATAAAATTGTTGCAAGACTCCATAGGTTGCCATGTTCCAGAGATGCATAAGCTTCTTGTTTAAATGACCTTGTTTGTTTGTAATATACTTCGAAATTGGTATATCTTATACCAAGAACCAGAGATATATAGGGAATTCCCCCTTAACAATTCCAACTTCCTGGAGTCCAAGGCATCATTTAAGTGAGACAAATTAGCAGCTATTTATCCATCTCAGTCTAATGACGAATAACACTTTCAGAATGGGTTAAGTAACAATGTGTACCTTCAGAATGAGTTGAGTAACCGTGTGTACCTTCAGAAATTTCATAGAAGTTAGCAAATCTAAGGTAATGTTGCAAGACATCAGGAATGAGTCCACATGTTCAAGAGGGTGGCGTCTATTTTTTATTTTATTTTTGGTGGGGGAAAAAAATTTTAGGAGGTTTGACAAGCTGAATACAAGCAAGAATTAAAATGTGGAGCACTTTCACTATAGGGACGAAAGAAAAGCGGAACATGTACCTGAAACTACAGTAAGTTTTTGAGGAACTGTGCTGTCCTTGCTAAATTCAAGAGAAATCCAGTTTAATGGCTCAGCTTTAGCAAGGCGGACTTCGATTTTGCTTGGCAAGACTTCATATCTGCATTTCTCCGGTGCAATCTGTTAAAAAAGGAATCAGAATGAAGCAGAGCAGAAAAGAAAACTGGATAAAAAGACCAGTAGAAAGTACATTCGCAGGACACGACTTGGTACTCAAGGAAAACTAAAAAGCCTTAATAATTCTATTTGAAGATCTCGAACAAGAATCCTGTCTCAAGAAATTGAACCCAAGAAAATCAACTGATTAATGCATAGTTAGTGCCTTTTCATATATGTAATAAGACCTATCGCAACAATGACCAACTCACACATGTTAAATATATTGGCCTCTTTGGCTACATTTGAAACAAGTAATTTTTTAAAATTCTAGTTTAAAAAATTAAGAAAAAATTATGTATGAATCAATATGTCAAGGTTAATATATTTTTGAAAGGTTTCTTAAACATATGTCAACTTGCAAAAGACGCAAGATTTGATCTAAAAGTTAACAGTCTACTGTATAAGTCACTACAAACAAACCTATTATAGAAGCTACTCTGCTACAAATCGCTGGGGTACACACCTTTCCGAATAGGCGGGGTTGAAAATGATATGCATCCTCACCAGGGACATCAATGATAACGCTAAGCTGCAAAGGACATCAATTAAGTCAATGTCCATCCTATTTTTCAAGCAGAAAAAAGAGCAATAAGCCCAACATCGATGAGCAAAGCCTCACAATTTGTTCGCCAAAATCAACTGCGACAGTTTGAGCTGGTATGCCCTTTGCAAATATAGTTATAACCACTTCCTCAGGCTTCTGGTAGAATTCATGCCTGCACTTGCAAAAGAGTAGCTGTCAGATTACTGATAAGCCTGCTTAACTATGGAAAGAGGCATGCATTCTAAGATCTTTTTCTAATGGATGCTACATAGGCTTTTGACTGGTAGAAGCATAAGAACTGCAAAAAATAATGATAAGCTGCAAACTTCCAAAGTCCAGACTCCTTAGAACTGTCATGATTTTGAAACTAACAGAACAAAAGTGCAGCTCATATACAATTGATCCGAAACAGATTCTTCAGTATCAAGCATAAAGCATATGACCTGTATTTCGGTTTGACAATCAACTGTGAAGTCGCCTGGTTGGGAACTTCATTCACAATCTGATCACTTTCTTGATCACCTTCAGCAGGTACCACCTGGGTTGAGGCCTTTTCAAGTGGCTGGTCAAGTAAATCACCAGATTCCTCTAAAACATAATTCCACACAGCAGTTGATCATTAAGATGTCATTTGATTTCCACAATGTGAAACAATTCATCCAAAAAGATCAGTACAAACATGCACACTCATGCATAAAAGGTGCCTAGATCATGTGAGAAGGTTGGCCTGTTCTAAGATAATAACAACGAGCCCAGCTTACTCATGCAACTGAACTAGATTCTCATCAAGTCCAAGTAGCTCCAAAACTAAATCAAATTAATTTCAATCCTCAAACAAGAAAAACTCGAGCAGCTTGAGCACCTAATCAAATAATTGTTTTATGATCTGTTTTAAATAGATTTGTACAAATTTCTGTATGAAGCACTATCACTGCTGCTCATTAGTATAACAAATCGAGAACCCAAGTTTGAGCTCAATTCAAGCTCATATTGATTGACTAGACACAAATTGAGCTCAAGTATATCGGGTATCTTACAGAATGAACTTCAAGATGACAAGCTTCATTTAACTCAGTTCAAGTATTGAACTTTAATTTCTCAAGTAGAGTCAAGTTCCGATAATACATTGTTGGATCCACTTGTCCCAATTACCCATTTATGCAAATTTATTCATCATCAAAGTGATTTAGCTGGTCTAGTACCTGCAATACCCTCGTCACACTTTTTGATTAAATTGGTGAATCTCGCATCCCCAGGAGCCAGAGAAGAACCTAATTCAAATGCTGCTTTGGCAGTCTGATACTCTTCAAGCTCATAACAAGCATTGCTGAAAGAGTGAGTGAGTGAATATCAGCTCAGGATGCCCTCAACAGATAGCTTTATATAAATGAACAAAGATAATTCAACTGCAAATCTAAAGCAACTTTACATGTATTATTTTGTGGGGAAGAACATAGCACTATATTACATCCAGCATATGTGAAATAAGATATACCTATCTTTTTAAAAGAGACCATTTACCACAGTGCGAAAGATTGTCACTATGACATTACCACAATCTCACTATTATGATACCAAAAAAACATGTTTTAACACACCATCATCACAATTTGCTGATGCACGGTCAATCCAGATGTAGAATAGGTTAGAGAGAGCCTTGAGTGGTACTAACCCCTTGCGAAAGTATGCTTTGGACATTGATGGATCTAACTCGATTGCTCTATTTGCATCCGCAACAGCCTCTAAAGAGCAAGCATAAAGAAAAACATTAAAAAAAATTTAAAGACAGATTCACATAACTAGAGGATATGCAGCATTCTAAACAAGACAAATAGATAATGATAAGAGGAAGGTCAGGTCAGCCACAGTATATAATCAACAATTTAGAATGCGAAATTCGAAAGTACATCTTAATCCTCCATCTTAATCAACCACGAAATCTCGACAAGTTAAAAGGATAAATTTACATCTCTCTTTTTCTCCGCCCTTTCTTTATTTTTCGCCTGTTTTCTCCTAAACAAGTAAACTGGGGAAAAAAATTATGCAGACAGAAAGATCACTGGCTCTCCATCGTCTTCCATTCTCTACCCAGGCTAGTTGCGTTGATTTAACACACTTCAGTATCAAGAAAATAAAACAAAACGTCCGACGAAGCGGAATCTCAGACCGATGCACTAGCCGTATACGAATCCCACGTTCATGAATTTCACATCCTGATAACAAATTGCATATAAAGCCCCAAAGCAATCCAACATCAACTGATTTCGCAATTCCTCAAGCACGAAAACAGATAGAACCAAAGGCTCGGCAAAAGAACAACAGAGAGGGAGCAAGTGTACCGGTGAAGTTGCAGAGCTTGAGGTTGGCCTGAGCGCGGTCGGCGAAGAGCTCGGCGTTATTAGGGCTGAGGGAGATCGCCTGAGTGTAGAGGTCGACGGCGAGCTCGAAGTGGTCGTCGATGAACGCTTCCTTCGCTTTGATTTCGAGATCGGACGCCATGGCCGGAGGATCTGAGGAGCAGAAGACTCTAGAATCGAAGCAGAAGCGAGAGGAGAGAGGCCGCGCAATAGAGATGGTGAAAAAGGAAACGCACGAGGATTGACTTCAATGGGTTTTGATTTTAATGAAAATCCGCTCAAATATAATGCGTTTATTTTCCAGAGCCTCCCATACGACGACGCAAGTCGAGCTAAATCGTGGGCTGAATTGGTAATTTCCCGTTGTCAAATCACCGATCTGAAGTAGGAAAAATAATTAAAAATTGAAATTACTCCAAATAAGCTCTCGCTAAAATCTTTTTGTAAAAGAACCAACTTCCTTTCTTGATTTCCTCTTCCTAACAATTTAAGATCATCCTTCTTTAGCCAAAAAGAAATATTCATTTCTTCCCCGGCGTGACGTTAAAAGGCTTCATCCCGAGTCTCGCTCGGACCTCAGAGTCTTTCGAATGTAAAATAATTAGAGGGTATTCCCTCTCTCCTGTAAAATAAAGGATATGAAGAGAATTGAGGGGTATGAGGTATGCAAGCCCCAGCATGTTAAAATAAGGTCTGCATCTAAGAAGGCAGGTCGCGGAAGCCCTCACAGGAGCGAAAGCTCCCTTATTTTGGTGAGGTTAACCTTAACAGCACCAATGATTCAAGATAAGCCCCCTATTATCCTCTTTTGTTACTTTTTTTCCCCCTTTAATATGTTTTTGGGAGAATCGCCGAAAAAATTTTAAATTTATTACAATTGTGTCAATTTTATCTTACATGTTTTCTCATGACAATTGAGTCCTAAACATTTTGCATTTGTGCTAATTCGGTCGATCCGCCCAAATGGACAATTTTTTAGTAATATTTTAATTATTTTTTTCTTTTCTTTCTTCTTCCACTGGCGGATGAGGTCGACCTCGCCATCGCTAGACAAGGCCAACCTCATGCAGGAGGAAAAAGAAAGAAGAAAGAAAAAAAATTAGGGTTTATACCACAAAAAACCCTAAACTGGGACACCTGTAATAAATTTACCCCAAACTATTTTTTTTACCATAAAAAACTCAAAACTGGTACATCTGTGAAAATTTTACCCCGAACTATTTTTTTTACCATAAAAAACCCCAAACTAGTACGCATATAACAATTTTACCCCGAACTAATTTTTTAATATTATTTTATTTTTCTTTTTTTTTTCCTTCATCTTCTTTATCTTCAACCTCTAGAGGTTGAAGATAAAGAAGATGAAAGAAAAAAAAAAGGAAAGGAATAATAAAAAATAATATTAAAAAATTAGTTCGGGGTAAAATTATCGTAAGTGTATCAGTTTGGGGTTTTAGGTGGTTAAAAAAATAGTTCGGGATAAAATTATCACAGATATACCAATTTGGGATTTTTCGTGGTATTAACCCAAAAAATTAAAGCGCAGTACCCTCGTATGATTATTTTTCCTGCAATACGATACCATCCCCTGCTTCGGCAACTGCGCACGTTCCGTCTTGACTCTAGTTGAGAGGCTCGACTTCAGAGAGCCAGAGAAATGCATGAATTACACACGAGTCGATATACGAGAAGGTGTTTGAATTCTTTTCGTCCTGCAGAAGATGGATGGCTCATTCTTGAGTTGGTTCACGGTATCTATCGTCGGAGATCTTCCATGCAATGATCGAAGCGCCTTACACATCGTATCTTGATCTCGAAGAACATCAATCTCGTGGCTATGTCGCACTTGTAAAATCATCGCTCTCAGCTCTCCAACATTCATAGTTCGTATAGCTAGAGAAAGAAACATGTCACGCCGGACCCTAAGTGCAGTCTTCAGTGAAAACCCATCATCACGTTTCAGAGATATTTGCTCACGGATATTGGTTTTTTGCAACTCACGGTCTCTTAGAGACGGTATATGCGTTCACAGCGCAGTTATCAAGTTGGGTTTCGAGGATGATCTGTACTTGAACAACAACCTCTTGTGCCTTTACTCGAAATGCCGTGGTCTTGAGCAAGCACGCCAGTTTTTTGATGAAATGCCACACAGGGATGTAGTGTCTTGGACGGGGCTTCTGTCTGCTTATGTTAAAAGTGGGAATCATGAGAAAGCCCTGCAGTTTTTTTCTTCAATGTTGATGTCGGGGCAGACTCCGAATGAGTTTACTCTTTCGATTGTTTTGCGGTCATGTTCCGCACTAGAAGAATTCAACCATGGATCTAGTATCCATACTTATATCGTAAAGAAGGGGATGGAGTCGAATCCAATCCTCGGTAGTAATTTGATTGATCTATACTACAAATGTGGTTATAGAGAGGAAGCTTGTAATATACTTATGCATATGGAAAATAGCGATGCAATTGCTTGGACAACAATGATATCGTCAGTCCTTGAAGACCGGAAATGGAACTTGGCATTACATCTATACCTCCGGATGGTTGAGGCCAAGGTTCCTCCGAATGAGTTCACGTTTGTTAAGCTTCTTGCTGCATCGAGCTTTCTTGGTTTGAAGTGTGGAATGCTTATTCATGCCCATTTGATAATGTGGGGAATTCAGTTGAATTTGATATTGAAGACAGCTATAGTGGACACGTACTCAAGATTTCACAGGATGGAGGATGCCGCAAAGGTCTTCTCTCTGACGCCCGATTGTGATGTGTTCTTGTGGACTACAATCATTTCTGGATTTGTGCAGAGTTCAAAAGTCAGAGAGGCCGTCAAGGCATTTCTTCTGATGGAAATATCTGGGGTTACAGCAAATCATTTTACGTACTCGAGCCTCTTGTCCGCTTGCTCAGCAATTCGGTCGCTGGAACTGGGACAACAGCTCCACTCAAGGGTAATCTTGGTTGGCCTGGATGAAGATGTTTCTGCTGGAAACGCGCTTATAGACATGTATATGAAATGCTCGTGCAGAGTGGAAAATGCATTTCAAGTTTTTAGATGCATATACTCACCAAATGTCATCTCTTGGACTTCCTTGATTGCTGGTCTTGCTGCACATAACTATATAAGGGAAGCTTTCCTGTTCTTCCTAGAAATGCGAGAGGCTGGAGTTGAGCCAAATTCCTTCACTCTCTCTAGCATTCTCGGGGCTTGTGGTATGACAAAATATCCTACTCATGCTATGCAGCTTCATGGGTTTATAATCAAAAGTAAGGCAGACCATGACATTACTGTTGGCAATGCACTTGTTGATGCCTATGCTGGACTGGGATTGTTCGATGATGCATGGGGTGTTACAAGCACGATGGACCGCAGAGATACCATCACATACACGACTTTGGCTACAAGAATGAATCATGCGGGTCATCATGGTATGGCATTGAAAGTGATTAGAAATATGGTAAAGGAAGATGTCTTGATGGATGAATTTAGTCTGGCCTGTTTCTTGTCCGCATCAGCAGGGGTGAATGAAATGATATCTGGGAGGCAACTTCACTGTTATTCTGTAAAGTCAGGCCTTGGCAGATGGATTTCAGTCTCAAATGGCCTAATTGACTTATATGCAAAATGTCAGTGTATGAAAGATGCACACAAAGCTTTTGAAGAAATACCTGAACCAGATACTGTGTCCTGGAATGGGTTGATCTGTGGATTGGTATCGACAGGGAATATATCTCCTGCTTTCTCCATGTTTGAAGATATGAGGATGTCAGGAGTCAAACCTGATTCGGCGACACTCTTGTTAGTGCTTTCTGCTTGCAGTCGCGGGGGTTTGGTCGATCTTGGTCTTGACTATTTTCATTCTGTTAAAGAAATATATCAAATAGCACCAGAATTGCATCACTATAATAGTCTGGTCAATCTTCTTGGCCAAGCAGGACGTCTAGACGAAGCCAGGGACATGATAGAGAACATGCCCTTAAAACAAAATGCAATGATCTACAAAACGTTGCTCAGTGCCTGTAGATTACATAAGAATGTACCTTTGGGTGAAGAGATGGCAGGAAAAGGAATGGAGCTTGACCCATTTGATCTTACCTTCTATCTTTTACTCGCAAAGCTGTATGATGCTTCTGGCAGATCTGATCTAGGTGATGGGACTCGCCAGATGATGAGAGATTTGGATTTGAGGAGTATGCCTCGGCTGAATCAACATGTCTCTTTTGCTGGAGATAGGTTCGATGTGCATGTGTAATACTTGTGGAAGTTCATCATGTTGGATCTTGCCTCCTCAATGATATATATGTGAGGATCATTGTGATTTTTCTGAGATTAAGCCACCTCCTGTTGCAGAGCTAAGAGATCTCGCTTCTGTTAGCGACTCAATTGTTTGATTGATCAGTCAAGTGAGAATATGGGCAATGTGACCTCAGGTCCTCAAGAGATGGAGTGTATCACAAAAACCTCATCTGTGGCAATGAGAAGCGGTGAAGAAATTTGTATTCACCTCAAGCTTCTGTCATGTCCAAAAATCTAACCATACAGTACTCATCACTTGGTCCTTCCATGGCTAGTCAAATGTTGCGAGGCAGAGCAATTTTTCCCTAAGCCTCTCAACCATCATAAATTCAACCATAAACATAATTTTGTGCAGGGCCATTACATACGCAGAAAGTGTCCGAGCCGAGCATGGAGTGTCATATCATTGGAGCTGAGATCTACAGACTCCAATAGTCAATGATGCACACGTGGGCAAGGGAGCAGTATCAACGCGAGACTGTTGATTTCGAATTATTACGACTCAGGGTATTTACCGATGAGTGATGAACATTATGCATACTGGATGTAGAGATCTCTCGGAAGATAATGCAAAGAAAGTTCCCATTACACCTGCCAGGCTGCCATACATTTCATCTGATCAATTAGACTCAATTTGGTTCTCACGTAATGAGTGAAGATGCACTCTGATTCCATATCCTACAAGTCTCAGATTGACAAAACGACACATCATATTTCTCTATTACCTGTTCCTTTTACGATACTTCTTCATAATATTCTGCATATGCTTGTATGATTGTCCCAGAGAGAGGCTTCTTCCTAGCTTTTCATCAGCAGGAAAAGGAACGATGTGGACTTTTGGTATGGAAGGAAGAACAAAAATTTTCTTCCTCGGGGAGAAGATATCGTCAGGGTAGGTTTTTCCCTTCTCATTAATCAAAGCCAAGTAAAAGTTCCAAACTACCGACATGTTTATCTTCTCTTGCCACTCGGATCGAAAGATTATAACAGGCTCATCGACAACTTTCACCGCAATCAAAGAACAAAATATATTCTTACTGGTGGAGAGACAGTTCCTTTCTGTCACACATGTAGTTTTCTCCCAGAAAATGAGGAACTCGTTACGAAAATCTCATTTTTCATTGAGTATGAAACAGAGCTTAGATCCCTCCCATGGCACAGAAATAAATAGAAAAAAACTTGAGATTACATGCTGAATGCTTCAAAATGAGTCCCGCAATGCGAACTAGTGCATCTAGAAGAAGGGCTTATTACAGAATCGCACATCAAAGAGAATATGGAAATCACATTCAGCCTTTGCAACTCGGTCAGATATCAAGCGCCAGTGGAGTGTCATGCCTTCAACTGAGATTCGCCAGAGGTCACTTCCGGCTTACTTTCCTTCTGGCCTATGCGAATAGCCTCCAGCGTCTTGTAGAACTCCTCCGGCAGTGGCCCTGGTCGGTGTTGGGGGACATGCTTCGGAATAGGAGCATCATTCTCAATAACCTCACACTCATAGTCGTCAGGGACACCCCATGGATCCCATTCTGCAAAATGACAACGTGCGCGATAAGCGCTGTTTATGCACAGATGATCTTTTCCTAACATTCTTCATCTTAGACATCAGGAACGACATCAGCAGAATGTGAAACAGAATTATGAGTTTGGTTATACGCTAAACAGTAACTAACAATCCAAGACTTTCGAAATTTCAACCCTCCCAAAGAGATATCAGGAACTTAATAGACTCAATGAAGACAATGGCAGTTTTATTCAGCAAACTTCCATGCTAAGATTCATTGCAATACGCCATCTCTAGACTTGCTGCTTCCTGCAAAACTAAAGTCAAGATGCCTTGCAACCGATACAGTAAAATATTCGCAACCAGGGCGCTAATCTAGTCGAAAGAGCAAAGCGAGAACTTCCTTCAAGGCTTATCCAAGAAGCAGCCCTATGTGAAATAATCCTAGTGCAATGACCCCCTCACATCGAACGCAAAAGCCTACACTAAAGCGTTTCACTGGCACGGGGGTTTGCCAAAGAATATGACTTAAAACAACAGGCACGGACGGATACAACGATCTCGACCAACGGCACATACTTCCCTCTGAACAATAAGCAATGCAGATCTCGAGGGAGGTGGAACTATCAGAGTCTTCAGGTCCCTAAAGCCCGACACTTTATTGGAGGCTTTCAATCAGCAATTTCCACTACAGTCATTCTCATTTGCTCCAGATTCATCAGAGAGATTTCATCCTTGTATCGCGAGAGCTAAATCAATCGATAACACACCACTCTAACGATCATTGCGAAACCTAACAGCGCAATTCCAAGGATGCGCAAACGGAATCGTTCATCTTAGTAGATTATGCGTAATCTAAATGAGCATATATAAGAACATGTAAATCACTGACATCGAACCCTCTTTGACATCGTAAACCAATTCACCCTCATCCATCCATCGAGATATCACTGCACTACCAGAACCTATCGAGAAAACGCAATGCAACAAGCAATCGTAAGCAGTTTTGGAATCAACGGACCGATCATTTTGGAGATGAGGGTGAGCTCGTCGCGCGCCTCCTCGATGAGCTCCTCCACCTGGCCGCACCCCAGCCGCTTCTCGATCGTCTCCCAGTCCTCCTCCTCCTTGCACACCTTCAACCGGTGCCGCGTGAAGCTCTCCACCGCCTTCCGGTAGCCCTCGTCCTCGGGGACCGCCTGGATCTCCTTTAGGGTTTTGCCGTAGAGCTCGATCAGCACCTCCCTCGCGTTCGGGACCACGTCCAGCCCCACGATCCCCGTCGTCTGCTTCACCTTGGCCATCAGCGGCCGCCCGATCGCTCGCAGAAACATCTCTGTCGCCGGCAGCTTCGCAAGGCACTGGATCGATCACTCTCCCTCAGCAGACAGCAGTTGGCTTGAGCTTCAGGAGAAATGGAGGAGCGCACTGAAACTTGCGCTCGTGAAGTGGATTCTTGGGCTCAGTTTGGTAGGGCCCAAGTTCGATCTGGATGGGCCGCAGATCAAATGGGCGGGCTTTTTTTATGGGCCTTTGTGTCTAGTTTCTTCCCTATTGAATGATTGATATGTTTTATCTTTTTTATATGGTATTTAGTGCGTGTGAATTATCTAGCTTAAGTAAAAAAATCATCTCCTTAAAAAAAGAAGATGCTTTCCCTTGCCAGGTAAATAATTCGGCGTACGCCGCACGGCAAGGATGCGGCGAAATATCTACAAGTACCGATGTCTGACTCGGGTTTTCCGGCATAAATCACGCATCTGGCGTGATTTAATGTCACCGACTGATGCTCAACGGAACTCCTCTTTTTCCTCGAAACTTCCGCCCGGTCGAGTATAAGACCCCCGCTCGAGGACGAGTCTTGCTTCCTCGGGGCGGAGGAGGAGGCGAAAGGAGAGTCTTAGCTACCTGCTTGGAGTCACTCGAAGAAATCCATGGTCAGATCAGAGAGTAGCAAGCTTGCCTCCGACGGAGAATGAGATTGTCATGGGAAGGGCTACAAGAAGGTGTCGAGGCAAGTAGTTTCCATTGACAGAGCTATACTTTTAAGGTTCCCTGATCAAATCACGTCGTACGTGTTTTTTTAAGCTTGCAAAGAAGTTCGGTCTTTCATGGAAATGCTTAGCAAAAATTCACGAGAAAAGTGGTCGTTGATCTTTTCTTCTCCATGTCATTTTTGCTAAATCCAATCTTGCCCGTCTCAGTTCAGACAATTTTGAGCGCGCACGACCGAGCTCATGGGCCGAGCCGAACCCCACACTTCGCCCCCAACACGCGAGATCACGAAATCGGTCCAAGATCGACCCGGCTCGGCCCTCCCAGAAAGGTACGCGCAATGTTGTAAGGCATCATATAGCCTTACAACGTCTTTTTGTGTATAATTGTCTCTCATATCATATTAAACAAAAGCCGATTTAGATATTAATTTCCATGGACAGTGATGGATCGTTCCTCATTCTTTTCTTCTCGTATATAGTCACGTATTAAGTACATTACTCGAAAGCAACATCGATGCCGCCCATATAATTTTTTTGTCATTAGAAAAAGATCCACATGTTGCCGTACAGCCCATTAAATAAGCACAAGATATATATGTGTGTGTGTGGAGATTGTTTATCATCGTCTAGGAGGAAATAATTTTTTTTGGATTTGTTCGCTGAATAAATCCAAATATGGGCCGAGAGCTTTTGAAGTTGTTTTAGATGGAAATTATCCCAAAAAAAAAAAAACAAAAAAGGGTCATGCATAATTAATTTTCAATTTTATTTTGTGGGTCATCAATTCTCTGTTAGTAGTAACAATTCCTTACGAAGATAAGATAAATCAACTTGCATTTGCTAAGATAAGATGAACCATCTACTTGTAATTTGCCAATTTCCATCATGAGATTCCACAACAACCTCATGGGCGATGCATGTTTCGAGGATGCTCGCTTTGATATGAACAGCTCCGCAATTGATTATAGAAGCCCATCATAATTGCCATCATTATTAACAATGATTATTCTAATGGCAATTAAAAAAAAATGCATTTATTTATATATTATTCCTCATCTGCGCAGGACCTGATGAGGAGATGAGCATAAAGAAATTGGATGAATAAAATAGGATTGACCGGCTATCACAACTGAGAATAAGATATATTTGACCGGAGATTTATAAATAAATAAAATGGAAATAAAAAAAATAAAAAAAAATTGGGGGCCATTAGCGTGAGGGTGTGAAAAGACAAAAAGGGATCTTGCGTTTTGTCTCGTGATAAAGGCGACGGGCGCGGAGCCGGTCACGCTCTTCAGCCTCCCTTACAGGGAACCGACAACTGTCATGCACCCACTTGCCTTTCCCCTCTATATATATTTTTAAGAAATACGAATTTGATTTTCTTTCATTTTCTTTATTACATAAATAATTCCACCTTCAGCTCCGGTTGACCTTTCTCTAGATGAATATGTGTCCCTTATGTTTTACATGGAGCAATTGCGCAATTTAATGAACACGAAAACTTAAAAACTCATCGAGACGAGAATAATAAAAGTAATCGAGAATGGTCATTTGTAATCACGCGATGATGGATTAGGATTACGCATCGGTGGCTTCTTTACACACATACAGTAGAAATAAAAAGAAGATTAAAATAAATAGAACTTTTTTGTGAGATATCTTATGAACATATGTAAGTTTGCGTACTTGGTAAAGGAAGCGGGTGATCTTATCAAAGTGAGTTTCTTTGTAGTTTTACATGTCGTGGATGAATTGATTCTTTAGCACGCGTCGGATCGGTGACTCGATATGCACATGAGAAATACGTGACGTTGGTATTATGCAGGGGAAGGAATCGAATCAGCCAAAACACAAAAGAAGAAGAAGCTGGTGGGTGGCATCACGGCAAAAAGGGGTCAAGGCAGGGCAATGCTGGTGACGAAAGAGAGCACAAGATGAACACGATAAGCCCACCAACGAAACGTCGAGAAAAAAATGAACAGACGGTAGAAGAAAGATGAGAGAGAGAGAGAGAGAGAGAGAGAGAGAGGGGTTTGAAGCTGCTAAAGCTCATGCTCACGTCGATATTCCACGCACAGGAGATCATGGACGCCTACAATTGTTTCTGTACATACAAAACCGAAAGGTAAGACTCGAAGACGAGAAAATTGAAAACGAAGAAAGAAGACGGGTGAAGAAAAGTGATAGAGAGAGAGAGAGAGAGAGAGAGAACTGAAAAGTGAAAGGAAGAGAGAAAAGCATGGTGATGGGGGCGGACGGAAGAGAGATTCTTCCTATCTAATCCCTTTCTATGCCTAGTTGGTGGTGGACGAAGATCTATCAAGAAAGAAAAGAAAAAAAGAGAAAGCTTTCATGTACGAAACGATCCAACTCTATGTATGTATAAATATCCACGTCAAGCCTCCGACTTTGTGACTTTTTTCCGGCGGTTCAAGGGCCCCCGCCAGCGCCGGCAGCGGCGGAGCTGAACCGGGTAAAGTCCGCCCGGCCCGGGCCCGACGAGAAGTTGTCTCCGGAAGCCGGGCTCCGGCCGAGCTCTCGGAACCCCATGAAGATCTCTTCGCTCATGGCCGCCACGTTGGGTATCAGCAGGTCGTCCTCATCTTCCTCCTCGCGGTCGTTGTCCTCGTCGTCTCCGACCAAGTCCTCGCTCTCCTTGTCCATGCCCAGGTCGTCGCTTATCAGGAGAGCGCCGTGATGGGCCACCTCCTCGTCGATCGGGGCCGTCAGGGGGGTCGTCGGGGAGAGGCTGGCGGTGGAGGAGGAGCACGGGGCGGCGGGAGCGGAATGGGCCGGGCCGATCGGGTCGGGTTTCTGGAGGGAGGAGGAGGAGGTGGTGAACTTGTTGCGGGTGCTGCCGGCGAGGGAGTTGCGGTGGGTGGGACGGGGGTGGGTGTGGTCGCCGGTATAGGTGATGATGAAGATGTTCGGGTCGGCGTTGCTCCGCTCCACTTGCTTCCTCGCCGAACAACCTTTGGAGCTACTGCATCTGTAATAGTTCCTGTTCATCATTTTTCATTCAAAATTAAAAAAAAGAATGAATGAGACTGCGACTGATGAGTTATGTGAACTGAATCAAAAGAGTGTGAGTTCATGGAATCGCTGTGGACCTCGGGAATGGAGAGCCTTTGATGGGTTTTTGACCGTACTTACGCCAAGCCCACGGATCGGACGACAGATTCTCCGCCGTCACATGGCAAACCGACTTCTTCTGCTGGCTCTTCCTGCCACAGAAAACAAAAGAACAAAAGAAAAGGAAATTCAAAATCTCTTCTGATGATTCGGTGAAACTGTTTGGCGAAACGGGAAAGCTCTCACCTTTTTCTAGATCTTGGTGTCTGAGCCTGCATGGCGGGTAGAGGGAACGTAGAAGAAACGGGCCGAGCGGGAAGCACTTTCCGGTCGAAGCCCTGGTGGTGCACCGCCTGTTTCATCTTCAGCTGCGGCGGCGGCGGCGGCGGAGGAGGAGCTTGGAGGGCTCCAATGGCAGGTGCCGAGGAAGCGCGGTTGAAGCGAGGGCCGACGGCGGCGTTCGGCGAGACCGGCGCGCGGAAGCCGTTGGCGGCCGCGAAATCGGAAGCGAGCGAGAGGGAACGGTCGACGTCAGGGTAAAAGGGTCTGTACAATTCCTGCAGCTCGTCGAGAGCTCCATTTCTGGGCTCGACGAGATTCGGAAACCCAAACGGGCCGTCCTCTTCCTCCCCGAAAGTCAACGAGGCCAAGCAAGCCAGCGTCCTCTCGCTCCCCGGGGCGGCGGCGGCGGAGGCGGAGGCGGCGGCGGCGGCGGAGGAGCAGCTCCTGACCAGGGCGCTCAGATCCCAGTCTTCGGCCATTGAGGGCAGAACGAGCGAGTACCTCGAGACAGGCCAACCTCCGAACTCGGGTTCCTCTTTCTGGGTGCAATGCTTCGTCGTCTCCGGTTCATGCAATTGGGCGAGGAGAGAGAGGCAGAGGCAGAGAGGACGGCGCTGACTTTTGGGTGGTGAGAGAAAATAAAATTGAAAACAATGACGAGGAAGGTTTAGAGAGAGAAGGAGTGATGGAGGAGGGTGGGGGAGAAATGGTGGTGGAGCACTGACTTGGTAAAATTGCTAATTTATATATACACCAGTGAAAGGACACCGGAAAGAGGAGGGGAGTGGGGAGAAGAGGGAGGAGGAGGGAGAGGGGTGTTTTCGCCTTTTCGTGTTTCTTTCAATTTTTTTTATTTTTTTATTTGTTTTTTTGGGGGTGGTGGGGGTCCACCGGGGAGTGGGTTTTTTGTTTTGGTGTCTGTGTTGTGTCCAAAAGTGGCTTTTACATTGACTTTGCGAAAATGTCAAAATGGGGACAACATCGCAAATCGCTGAGCGTGGGGAATGGGAAGGCTCCGATGCTTCCCTCCTCCGAATATCCCCATTATAAAAAATAAAAAAAATAAAAAAAAAGGAAAAAGAAACAGAGCGAAAAAGATGCTCTCGTCTGGGTCCTGGCAGAAGAAGAATCCGTTGCGACTCTCCCGATTCCGTACTCGAGCTCTCATTGGAACACTTCTCTCTCTCTCTCTCTCTCTCTCTCTCTCTCTCTGAGCTCGTGAAAGTGAAGGGATTCCTCAGTCCCACCGCGTGAGTGCACTCTCCGGTTTTTAAGACGATTCTCTGTAGTACCCCGGAAAGTTTGTCGAAATTGATAAACTCCGAGCTCGTGAAATAGCTCATAACTTGATACATTAGGTAAAGCGCGACTAAAAATCTCTCGATCACAAACCTCGATGTATCTCTCTTCCCAAAAGTTTAAGAGAAAATGTCGGTTGGGATCGCATCGTACCGGAACTCGGTAATGTATTGGATCCAAGCCGAGAGAAGCTACTCGGTTTGCTTACGAAATTGATGGATGAATTTTCACTTGTACGGTGGGAAATAATATAAGGGGGATACGGGGGGAAGTGGTCGTGACGCACCCTGGCGTGACTGCGATGATCTCGCTTCTGCTTGTCCTGAGGCTAACAAAACATGGGGAAAATTCCAAATAAATGCATGAAGTGTTCTTGTTTTCTCAAATAAGAGCATGGAACATACATTATTTCAAATAAGGGTCTGAAGTGGTTATGACAGTTTCAAATAAGGGCCTAACCTCGCCGGCCAGTCAAATATTCCAGCTGGTCAGTGACATTTTCATCCAAAAACAAATTTATCATAAATTTAAGTTCAATTAAACTAAAAATTAAAAAGATAAAAAAAAATTTATAAGAGAGAAAAAATGCAAGTGAGAGGGTTGGCAAGTCGCCGTCCCATCATTGCTGGAACGGCGATGATGGCCGATGAGGTCGCTCAAGACCCTCGCCAGAATTGGAGAGGGTGGCGACCCTCTTTCGGGTCCGGGGGAGGGTCGCTAGACTTGGACAAACCCAGACCAAGGCGAGAGCCGCCAACCCTCACCCAGATCTAGAAGAGGGTTGTCGCCCTCTCCCGGTTCTGGCAATGATTGCTAGTCCTTGCCGCCGCCCCACCAACGATGGGGTGGCGGCCACAAACGGAGTTTTTTTTTATTTTAACTTTAGCCTTTTTTTTAGTTTGTTTTCTTATGGAAAGAAAAAATCAAAAAAAAATTAAAAGGAGAAAATGACCTTAACCAGACGATGAGATTAGATCATTTTTTGAGACTAGTATGGTCACTTCAAATCCCTATTTGAAATAAAGTTAATTTCATGAATTTACTTGAAAAAATGACAGCCTTTCAGATCTTTATTTAAAATAATATCCACTTTAAAGTTTTATTTAAGAAAATGAAGGCGTTTGGAGCTTTTATCTGAAATTTTCCAATACACTGCGGAGGGAGAGTTTTTGCTTTCGCCCTGCTATGTTCGCCTCCGCTCCGATACGCGCGCGTGTGGCCTGTAAAGACGCAGGCCAGGATGGGCCCCTAACTTCATTAAAACGCGGATCAGCTTCTTGTTTGGCAACGCTACAGAGAGGTTTGGAGGGGGGGGGGCGGGGCGGGGGGCGCGTGACCGAGATGCGCACGGGGCGGGACAAATTTGTCACGCTTGCGTTTCGGCAATATACGTACATAGTTTTGAGTGCGCCTGATTGAATTCGCATCCTTCTCCAATCAACGGCTCAACTCATTTTCAAACGGACGGTGAAAAGTGTCGGTTCTGATTTTTGACCCTTTTTTCGATCCCAGCACCACGCCTCTAATTAAACAAAAGTACACATATTATTTCGTGTCGGTAAGATGCGGTACGACGTGTTTTACCTGTCTTTAAGGTACATCGATATGTGTTTAAGTATTTTTTCTAAATGTTTATGTTCGGTGCTCGTTGCCGTGTTATGTGTCCTCAGACTCGTTTGATGATCGCACCGTGGCCTGTGTTTCAAGAAACACGGCACGATCGATACGCACGCTTTGACACGCGATGATTGTAACAGGAAGATACAAAATTGCCAAGGCTAGTGTACTTTCCGGGAGGAAAAAAGATGCGAGTGGCTTTTACATGCATGGCGACAACGATTTGTACTTTCGTGCAAGAATATCGATATTATTCATTTCAAAACAAAGGATCAAATTAATTGTTTTCAGGTTAGAATTTTGAAAAGAAAGGAATTTGAAACAAAAAGAAAAAAAAATCCTCCTTTACCAAAAGCTTAGTATCTATACATATATTCGTGCTGTTTATATTCAAAAGTAGAATTATCATTTGTACTTAAAGACACATTGTATTTTATAACCTAGGGATAAGAGCACGGAGCCCCGACTATTCGAAATCTCACGATAGACCCCGCAAGTTTCATGAATTTTAGAATTTTTCCTTTCATTTCCCACAAAACACATACAAATAATTTCAAATTGTTCTTTTCTGTTTTGGCCTAATGTGTTTCTCATCGGAGGAGGAGGTAAAAGATAACCTAGGAGTAAGAGCACAGAGATCCAATTATCCGAAATCGCACGACACACCCTCTAAGTCTCCTGAACTTTAACCCTTTTCCTTTTTAGTTTCCATAAAAACAGACAAATAACTTCAAAGGTTCTTTTCTGTTTTGGCCCAATGTGTTTCCTACCAGAGGAGGAGGTAAAAGATAACCTAGGAGTAAGAGCGCAAAGCCCCGATCATACGAAATTTCATGAAACACCCTAACAAGTCTTACGAAACTTTAACCCTTTTCCTTTTCATTTCTCGTATAATCAGACAAATAACTTCAAAGGGTCCTTTTCTGTTTTGGCCCAATGTGATTCTCGCCGGAAGAGGAGGCAAAAGAGACGAGTGTCCTCAGAGGATGACCATCTGTCACCAATCCCAGCTTGCTCGAGCTCAAGCGTTTTTTTCTGGACATGGACAGCGGACAACGTTGGACGGTTCTCACATGGACGTATGCATGTGGAAAGGGGGCATTACTTTAATGCGCGAAATCTGCAGATTCCTCGAAAGCACCGCAAACAGCAACTCGCATTTACGAACCCCTTTGGATTTTGCCATTAATGGGGCTTCTCGATCTTCGGTTTGGGAATCAATCCGTTTCAATTGGGAATCACTTTGATTACCGCCAGTGCCAGTGGTGTTCAGATCGACTGAAAATGGGTCGCGAGACATTTTGAATTCGGCAATTTAAGTTTTTGATGCTTTGGTTAATTTGTTAGGTCAATTTATAGTGATATTGCTCTAAGTCTAACATGTTATCTTGCAAGTGCTGCGCCTTACTATTTCCAAGGGTATACTTACACCATTGGTGCCGAGGAGAGACTACGAGTGGTGTAGGGATTCTATTGGTCCCTAAATTTTCGACAACATTTGAAATATCATTAATAAACTTTCGAATGGTTTAATTTTATTCTTGAAATATTGTGGAGTGTCCTATTTTGATAAGTTCGGTGTCATCATTGAATTAAAATCAAAAGACATCGAAAATCCCGAATAATGTCTATTGTGACACATTGACCATAAAGTTTCTTATGTGACAGCAAAAATCCCAAACTTGTATCTACGTGATATGTTTATCCTCTGTCAAAATTCTATCAATGAAAATCGTTAAAAATCTACCTCCATGGACGCAAACAATATTAAGATGGCGCCCACATGATTTAAGTGAAATAAAAACAACATTATTTTAGCTGAAAAATTATCTAACAAAATCTCGATAGAAGGTAAATACATCTTATAGGTACAAGCTTGGGGTATTTTTTATGAAGTTTACGGTAAATGTGTCACATCAGGTATAATTTGAGATTTTTTGTGACTTTTTTCCTTGAATTAATTGGAGTCAACATGAGTTGCTGAAACGGACACAAAAGATTATACACGAGGATTTTCACATGTAACATTCACACGGAACCACAAAAATAATACATGTTCCTTCGCTAACTATCATGTTCGCTTTAACTGGACAACTTTTTCTTGACTCTAGTCCTCTAAAAAGTCTTTGCTGCTATAGAGTTCATTTGACAAACTTCAGTTCTTTTTGCCATCAGGTACTAATTTGCAAAAATTAGGCATAGACTTCTCACATCTAAAGCCACCGGAAATTAATGTTTTCCACCGACAATGGCCAAGGGATTAATCGAGTTAACCAAGCGATTAGGATGTGCGCCTAAAGGAACGTGACCCAAACACGGTCCGAGCAGGAGATGGACTTAATCAGATGCGTGGAAGATGGTCGGGGATATCACATTATTCTAGCACTCAAGTAAAATTGACGCGGAAGCAAAATCAACAAATGCGTGTAATTACTTCTTCAAATTATGCTGATGGCGGCACCGTCCAACGACGCTTAATTATATAAAGTACATCTAACATGTGCGTGGACTTTGTTTCAAAAAGTCAAACTTCATTTGACCATATACTTCACTAAGATATCATTTCAATCATCATAACTTTCATAAATGCAAAACAAATTGGACACACTCATTCGAAGAACTTCCTACTCCCAAATTTCAAGGGTCTGCCATTTCAAGACACGTGTTTGAGGTCCAACCTTTACGAGCTTTTTGAAGATCTGAGAATCAAGAAATATCTTGCCTTCTCCTTCTGTACGAATGATAAGAAAGTCGCTCGCGCATTAATATGTCCACAAGGA